ACTCTCTGGCGCGCCCGCGCCGCCCGGGCCTCTCGCCCAACTAAATACAACGATTACCCAAGACAAGCCCGGGGGGGGGGGGGGGGGGCGTAATGTGGTCCAATAAAAAACCGAGATTTCTAGAAAACTAGTGAACAGCAATAGTTAAAAACTTGAAACAAAAACGAAAAAGTGCTCCATTGAGTTTCCAACCAGTTCTGAAAATATGAAGCTTTAGTGAGTTTTGGTTTTTATTTCACAGCATTTCTACGGAAAGTCCAAAATGAGGGAAGGAGTACTCCTAATGGATAACGATCAGTTGCTTCCAGTTATAGCCAGTGCTCATACACACTAAGCTGGAGTTTCAATCTTTTTAGCTGAAGCTAGATTCACGCTGAACACATACACCTTTTATCTAGAAGCAAACCTCCGCTCCACAATCGATACTTTTGTTTGAGTCGTATGATACTGTCTCAACTATCTAAAACGTCGATAAATTCTATTACCCTCCCATTCATAAACACTCATATTTCGAATGGATGATAGTCCAATGTGAAAACCCTCGTAACCGCCATTAATATTTATGGCTTGTTGTTTATCAGTCAACAAAAATGTAATCATTTTTTGTAACCATTTCCAATCATCTATCGTTCGCAATACAAATAAAATTGAATGTTTTTGTGCACAAAAATCTCTCGCTTCTAACCAAGAGGATTTTCGAACCGAAAAATAAATACATTGATCTAAAGATCCAACACAAACAGATTTATCAAGTATATTTTAATAGAAATGGCACAATACCTAAAATAGCGGTCCATTCGGGCCCTGGACAATGCATATTTTCCTGTATCTTCTTCTCGCATATAAAACGTAATATTTCTTGTTCACATTCTACAGGTTCGAGACAGTATTGTACTGTTGAGTTAATATGGAGCGTTTGTTCTTTCAAATTTGGTACTGATCGTAATTGTTTAGGATCATTAAAGAACTCTCGAGTCAGTGAAAATATTCGATCTATTTTCGTACAATGTTTATTGCTATTGATATTTAAAACACTGAAAGTTTGATCATGGTGGAAAGATGTTTTATTAGACAGTTGATTCATACGACGGATGCTTGTACACCACAGACGACCACTTTCAGGATAAAATCCATGATGTCCTGTAAAAAGCACAGAAAGAATAATATTTTTTAAAGGAAGAATTAGTTATTAACTTACTCGGATCCCATTCATATGATCCATGTTCAAAATGATCATGTGCTGAAACCCATATTCGATTACTTTGTCTCAACTGATCTTTATGTGACATGATTGCCAATATAATATCGACATCTTTGGATGTTAAGATATACGATAGATAACCACCAATTCTTGTACAATAATTGCGTGCTTGCCACCAATTCATTAGTGAATTCTCAATGTACCAACATCTATAATAGATGCATAGAAGTCTTAGAAAATAGATTTGACAGTAGTAAATCAATCATTTACCTTCCCTCTACTCGATACCAATTTTTTGGACAAGATAATTCTTGTGCAATTTGTTGTCGAATATTTTCAATTTCATCTGATATTGAACATTTACCTCGAATTAATATATAACCCTTGTCACATTGACATTCGGGTTTATTTTTTCCATCTGATTTACAAGTACCCTTTCCACAATCGATCGTTTCACATATGCTCACACCACAATGTTTTCCTATAAAACAAAAGAGGATAGGAACAAATTTCTACTTTTGTCTAAATTTTTCATTCTTTTACCAAAAAATCCTGTTACGCAAGAACACTGATTTCCGAACAAACATGTACCTATGAAAAAAAAAGTATTAGTCTGTAACGGATATAAATATATCAACTAATAATGATGTAATTAAAAAATACATTGAACTAAAAATCATTTCTTTTTCATTATTTTTAATATTTGAAAATTTGTCTGCTTTTTTTACCGGTATTTGATGTTTATTTTGTCGGAGCTGTCTTCATACCTCCATTTAGACATAAATTTGGCAGACAGGTTTCTTCTTGACAATACATTCCTGTAAATCCTAATTGACAGTGGCAAAGGCGTTCAGCATTGGTTTCAATACATGTTCCATCATTCATACAAAAATTAAGCGACTGTCGACATGGTACGAAATTACCGAATGATCCATTTCCATTTAAATCATTATTATTATTAATCATATTTAATATATCAGTATTATTATTCATATTGATATTGAGAAATTTATCTTTATCATTATTACTATTAATTTGATTCAAATATGATTCACTAGCATGCAGTAATTGTGTTAGTAGTTCTTGTTCTTTTTGTAATTTTTCATATTCTTCTTTGGACAATGTAATACCATCGATATGAATTAATTGATCATCATGTTCTTTGGCTTTCATTGACATTTTTACTTTCATATCGATATATTTTGGTTGAGAATTTTCTGCTGCTAAAACACGATTGAATGGAGAATGAGTATCAGTTTGAGAAAGTATAAATATTTGACCAGTCTTTATTCCTGTCAATGAAGATGTTGTATTATCCGAGAGAGATAATCCGCTCACATTTATACTATTAGTATGACCTATTAAATAAATAAGAAAATAGCATTAATTACGCAAGAATCATACATGCTTTCTCGAAATAAACAAGCAATGACTGACTGTCTTACTCGTTTCCAGGCGCTGTTGAGGGATTGTTGATGGTTGTTGATCTTGTTGTGGTATTGGTACACGTGTATTAACAAAATTTAATTGAAAAGGATCTTTGTCGATATTTTGTGATTTTAATTTTAGAATAAACACTGTTTGCAATGGATCTTTGAAGAATTTATGCTGAATCTTCAGCTTATCATTGTTTAATTCGTTCGTTTGAGAATATGAATTGAATGGATTTAGATTAGGTTGCAGTATTGCAGATGAAGTGGTTCCTTCTTCAGATGTTGAAAATGTCAACAGATCCTCAAATAGACCATTTGTTATTGTTGTTGTTGAGATAGAAGACGTCTCGGTCTGCGCCGCATGTAAATAATCAGTGAATTTTAACGCCTGATGATTATCATAATAGTTTAGATTTGTCCTGTTTGCGTTAAGTATTAGTTGATGTGAAATATCATTTTGTGCTAGTTGACGTAATTCTTGTGTTTGTGGAGAAATTAATGAGGATACCAATGGTATATGTCCATTGGTGATTGGTAGTACGTCACGTGAAGGTCTTTCTGAAATATTACTAGAGAATATGTTTGCTGTAGGCAATTTTGCCGTTTCATTACCCGCACTAACATTGTTATCATTACTACGAATGACTGATTCTAGTCGTTTGAGTACATTGACTTGATCAATTATTTCGGTCAGTTGATCTTTGGGATTTGAAAGTGTTTGTGTTATATCTATGTTGTCCGACGATGAAATTGGTTCTATTCTCTTTGTTAAAACATTAAAAAAATATTTCTGAATAGGAGATCCCACTAAGGGTAGACTATGACGAAAGAAAATTGGATTTGAATTTAAGGTGATATTTGCTATATGTGAAGGTATTACGTATATAAAGATGAGACAATTGAGCAATAAATTGAAGTTTAGATTACGTCCATTGGAGACGAATATCATCATTAGAAATTAACTATATAAAAAGTCAAATTATATTCGATGATGATTCGATTATTTAGAATATGACCAACTGTTCTCCATTGTATAGGCACACATGTGTCGATATATATGCAGTATATAGCAATGTACGATGCATTAATTGGATTTTAGATAGAAGCAAAATAAAGAATTTTTCCACTTTTATTTCTGTTATAAATTTATTCTGTTTGAGATAAATTTGGTCTATAATAAGATAGTTTATCATTTATATTTTTTACACATTTAAAGCTCAGATATAGTGGTGTATATTAAATGTGTAAAACAATTCAGGATCAACGCAATAGTTTTTTTTTTGTATAAAAACCCGGTTTGTTACTATGTTCCAAACAGTATTTAACATACATAAAATCTTTTTTGCGATAGTAATGATCTAAAATTTGTGAAACTGTACGTTTACCATATTTATTTATAATTGTAGTTACTCAATTAACCCTATTAAGAATCTTAGATAATAAAATTATCTTATTAAGATCTTATAGGATCTTACCCTTTAAGATCTTGATAAGATTTGATGACTCTACTTTCTCTGAATCTACTTTCATTCACTCTTTTGTTTTGCCCTCATGCAAGTATATAAGTAACATCAAAAATATGAAGGAATTTTACGGTTATTTTTGTTCCAGACTGCTAGTATTTGCTCTCGAAAGTGTACATGCAAGTCAAGATCCGACACTCAAAAATATGAAATTTCTTTTCATTCTTCACATTCGTTCAAGTGCTGCTTTGAACAATGTAGGTTAAATATTCAAAAATTCGCAGTAAATCGTGAATACATGTTATTAAGAAATGTCATAGATCTTACAATTAAAATCCTAACACATTCTTACCCAATCTTGAAAGAATCTTACAATATAATCTTAATAAAATCTTAGTAAAATCTTATCAAATTTCAAACTCTTCAGATCTCACGATCTTAATAAGATTTGTCTAAGATCTTAAACAAATGTAAGCGAAATTTTACTAAGATTTTACAATAAGATCTTAATAAGATTCGAGTAAGTTTCTCACTGGAGTATTTTATGACATTAATGGATTAGTGCTTCGGTTTTATTATTTGAAAAAGTGCACGTTGTGTATTGATGTTTCTCTGACTTCACTGAAACTACTTGTCTGATCACATGCGGAGATTATTCCAATTGTCATTGAAAATTTTATCCTCCTTTTTTATGACGACTTATTTCGCATATTGTAAGCAAAAAAATGATCAGAAAATCTCCCGTATTGCAAGTAAACTATTAAAAACATTAAAATAAGAATAATTATTATCAGAGTACATATAAGAATTATTCTAGTCTTTGATTTAATTTTGCCCAAAACGCAAGATAGAAGAACTGTTTTTTATCTTAAATGTTAACCTGTTTTGGGATCTAATGGATTAGAATTGAACGTAAAATTTAGTTTGTAGCATCAGAACAACATGTTAATTGTAGAATAATATAAAGAGAGAATGATAAATGGTACCAAACTCTTTATTTGATTCAAATTTATGCAGTTCTGCTATTTTCAATAGTATTAGAAGTATTAGAACTTTAACACAGAATGATTTCTCTGATATATCTTGCACTATATTTCATGTTATCTATTGTTGCAAGTAAACGTAAAAAACCAATTTTATTACTTGATACCTTTCGTTATACCCAAGACAAAATTGTGAGTACTACTGTTTGTTGGAAATGTGGAGTCCGTTCGTATCTTGGATGTGCTATACAATATCGATCGAATTCACCAAGTATGATGGAACTACATAATCACAGTGGCAAAGAAAGTCTTGCATTTTCACTTTTCATCATCTAAAACAATGACTATATGACATAAGCACTTTCTATTTTAAGCAAATAAAGTACAATAAATTTGCAACATTTTAGTGAAACTCCCAACCTTGCAGATGATTTTTTTCAAAGAAATTCTAATCACAATTTGATACGAGAGGTGCACGATCAATACTGAACTCCTGTTTCATAAAAAATTAAACTGTATTGTAAAGAAAATAGAATTTAGATTATTCTGACCAATAAAGTTTTTTAATATCCTTAATTGTATGTGGTGCAGGTGGAT